TAAACCCTTCCCACACTCTTGCAATAATCTAAGCAATGGTATAGCGAGACCACGGAAAACGAACTGTGAGGTAGCGAGGGACTATTGTATGTTCCAAAAGTTGTATCTGTCCCACACTATTTCTGCTTTTCTTCTTCTAATAAAAACAGTTTTTTGATAGTACCTCAGACATATTATTTGTATGTTAAATATTTGAAATTTCTGTGTTCACTTCCACTCTGGAGAGTTTGGTAATGTGAGCTCTGTCTCTGAGCAATTCAATATACTTTTAGCCTTATAAATTTTACATTTAATATTTTATTATCTATATTGTTTTATTGACATTTTTAATGAAACAAGGACACAAAATTTGGAGACATGGTGGCTCAGTTGGTAGAGAGAATCTGCCTTTCAGCGAGAAGGTCTTTCGATGCGTGGTTTTTTTCCAGGCACTCCCACAGACCAAAAACATGCATGTTAGGCTGATCGGTAACTCTAAATTGTCCCTAGGTGTGACTGAGGGAGTGAATGGTTGTTTCTCTCGTTTGTCTCTTTGTGTCCCTGTGATGGACTGGAGACCTGTCCAGGGTGTATCCTAATGCTCTCACAGTGCAATCTGCGATCTGAAAAGGAAGAAGTGGGTAAAGATGGATGGATGGATGAATGGATGGATGGATGGATGGATGGATGGATGGATGGATGGATGGACACAAAGTTAAACCTCTGATTTACATCAGAATTTCTTGTTAGCAAATTAATCTTGTTCCTTTATTTAGATTTTGAAGATTCTAAATATTGATTTATTTACTGGAGTGTGCAAACCTAAAAGTCATTCAGTTTTTTTAAATAAATTTTGCACAGGGTTTTAAAAACTAAACAAACTACATGAGAATAACCCGAATCATTAGATGTGGTTTTGTGGATTTGAGACAAATCGTTTTTTATTTGTTTGTCTGTTTGTTGTTGTGTGATGTATCATATGTATCCTTATCCTGGGCGGCTCTGGTTAAAGCAGTCGTCCGCCAGTGCAAGGGTTGGGGGTTTAAATCCACCAGCATTCACATGCCAAAGTGTCCCTGGGCAAGACACTGAACTCCTCATTTCCTCTGATGTGTGTCCCATTGGTGTATGAATGTGACAAAGTGCTGATTAGTCTCTTTAGACTTATTTGTTCAGTTAGCTTTGTAGAGTGCTGTATGAATGGGTAAATGAGGGCACAGATAATGTAGTAAAGAGCTTTGAGTGTCTTGAAAAGATAGAAAGGCATTATATAAGTACAGTCCATTTACCAATTTTTGTGTGCATATTGTTTATAATCTGTTTTAATTGTAAAAATAAGAGTATGTGGGTGTATTTGCTGTAAAAAGGTAGTTTAAACAAATAAGTACTTCTAAATTTTAAGAACACAAACCAGTTTTGAATGTTTATACTAATCTAGCACTATTCTTACAATGTTGCAAAAGTCAATAATAGAAAATACTACCTCTTTGCATTTCTGTGACAGTGAAGAAATAATCATTGCATGCTTGGATTGTGGTCTTCCACATTCATGGAAAAACAGTATCTGTATTTTTTCTAAATTCAGATAAAAGGCAGGTGTGCTCCAGCGTCTTATCTTTGGTGTTTTGTTGCAGAGATTTGTTTGCTGACACGGGGCAGAAGGACAGCCAGCGTTCGAGCCGACACATACTGCCGTTTGTACTCACTTTCTGTGGACAACTTCAATGAAGTCCTGGAAGAGTATCCTATGATGAGACGGGCTTTTGAAACCGTTGCTCTGGACAGGCTGGACCGCATCGGTAAGAACAATAAATAGCATTACAAGACAGAAATCACATTGAATCAATTTTATTTCAAAGTCACGTGAATGCAAACTTGCAGATAAAGCTCTCGTTTAAAAAGCCCTGCATGACTTTTCTTACACATACAATTGATATTCTCTCTGCAACCATCATTGTTCTGTTCCCATGCTCAGTCTGGGCAGATGAAAAATTCACAATAAAAGCCATGCCTGGATTATCACTTTGCCATCTCTGCATGTTGCGTTTTATCGTCTGCTATGTTTAGAACGGAAGATAGAGAAACTGCTTTAGGGCTGTACTTTGTAGAAAAAGTATGCTTTGAAATGATCAGCTGATAGTAATATAGTTGTGGAATTGTCTCTTCCATAGTCCTTTCTTCTTCTGTATTTGATGTTTGTGTGCAACTTTCTTTTAACTAATAAAGTAACTCAAACAGCACTGATCCCAAAATTAACTACTCTAAAGACTTTGCAACGTCAGATTTGAGACGTGAAAATGATATAGCATCAGTTAGTGTTAGGACAGGCTGGATGTAGTTATAGAACTGCACACAGACACCTCCTCATGTGCCATTATTCATTGAAGCAACCAGATAAACTAACTTGGGTTGAACTGCATTGTGTTTTAACAAAGTATTGGAAAATGGAAAACACATACAGTAGATATGCTGTACCCCATGTCTGGGCAGGTTGCAGTCTTAATGGCACATATAGTGATTCACACATGTACTCTGTGTTGAGATCACAGTTTGGACTAAGCTTCTATAAATACAAAGAATGAAAATTTTTCTTAATCAAGATATGATTTTTTTTAAACGGGGTGATTTAGAATTGTGTTTTGAAATTAATTTTACACTGATTCCATTTGTTTTAAATGAAAAGAACAGCTTGACCATTTTAAAATGTTGTCATTATTAGTAATGTGTATGCTGCAGTAGACGGTGATCAAAGCATTATCAGTTTGAAATATCAGAAAGGAGTTTTCTCAGAAAAAGTCAAGCTATCCGCTGAACAGGAAAAGCATCAAAGGCAGATATCCACTCTCTTAAAACAATCCATTCTCAATAATTTATCAGTGTTTCATGTACAATATATATTTAAAAACCTTTACCCCATCAACACTTTTCCATTAGACAGGTATATACAGTATATCGATCTAAGTCAGAATTCACTGTGACCCATGGTACATGTGAAAATATTGTTGCAAAATGATCGGATCTGGGATCGGAAGGTCGCCGGTTCAACTCCTTGGACTGACAACATCAAAATGTGGAGGGGAAAGGTGAAACACCCACACCTGCCTCCACCCTCATTTGCCCCACTTTGGGCCCTTGAGCAAGGCCCTTAACCCTCACCATCTACTCCCCTGGGCACCCTAGATAGCAGTTCTCTGCTCCACACAGAGGGCTGTGGTAGCTCTGTGGTCTGTGGTTGCGTCAGGAAAGGCATCAGGCGTAAATACGATTGAGAAGTCTTTGTGCGACTTAGTTCACTGTGGTGACCCCTGAAGAAGTGAGCAGCTGAAAGAAGAAAAATAAAATAAATATTTTTTACCAGGGCTAATATCGTTGTTTAAAATATAACACAAAGAAAGTAGTTTAAAGCTCAAATGTGTTTCATCCAAACACTGTGATGTTTTCTTTACACTTTGTCCCTTTTACCCAGAGATTTCAAGTCAGGCTGCCATTCATCCACAGCTTCTGCCTTTCACATCTTTCATCTGTTGTTTCTTTGATTCTATGCTCTTCTGTGCTTTGTGTTCTCCCATTCTTCTCAATCTCATGTCACTAAGTCAAATCTCTTTTTCTCTAATCTTCTACATCTGATTTTTAGGTAGATTTTTTTATTCCCTTCATAGGTTCATAGTCCTTTATGTGCCAGCATCATATTTTAAAAAGGCTTGCTAGAAAATTTAGAAAACAAACTCAAACACTCTTAAAATCATCTTGTTTTGAGCAGTTTAGTACATTTAATCAGATTCTCTTTTTATCTTTGAATATATGTTGTTATTATATTTGTATTACACATTTGAATGATGTCAGTTTACTGTTCCTTTGCTGTATGTCTATGTGACCAAGTAATTGTCTTCCCTTCTCTATATCTGTTTGCTTATCTGTTTTTTCTAATCTACTTCTAATACCACTGTGTTTTTCTTTTTTGTGTGTGTCTCTGGGTATGTGGTTTTAAAGGCAAGAAGAACTCCATCCTGCAGCACAAGGTTCAACACGATCTCAGCTCTGGTGTACTCAACTACCAGGAGAATGAGATCATTCAGCAGATTGTGCAACATGACAGGGACATGGCCCACTGTGCCCACCTCATGCAGAACATCCCACCACAGACTCCTCCCTCACCTACCCCCGTTATCTGGGCACCCCTCATCCAGGCACCTCTCCAGGCTGCTGCTGCTACCACCTCGGTTGCCATTGCACTGACACACCATCCCCATCTTCCACCAACGCTCTTCAGACCTCCAGTTTCTGTTTTGGGTTCCCTAAAAGACCCAACAACTCAACTTAGGAAGTTCCAGTCATTTGTTCCGTCCTCCACAGCACCTGGTTCTTCTGGGAACTCTCCTTCTAGCACTCCCTCGAAGCTGCACTCTGGTGTGGACATGCCATTGCTGGCTGCTTTTCGAGCTCAGCACATGACATCAGTTTCTGGGCCAACAAGCTCTTCTCAACATGCCTCAGATAATGCAGAACATTCTGGACCTAATGGGGATGGGTCTCGATCTAGTGAAGGAGGCACTAGTGTCTTTCCCTTCGGACCATTCTCATCCTCTGGCTCACCTTCTTCTAGCACAGCCCAACTTCACCCACAACCACAACATCATAAGCCCTTTCGATCTAGCTCCCCACCCCTTTCTAATCTCTTCCACCAAGAATCTGTAAGTGGGAGTACAGGGTCAGGACTAAGTGGAGGAACAGTTGGAGCCTGTGGTGGTGCAACAGGCTGGTCCTCAGGTGGAGCAGTTGGAGGTTCTGTTGAAGAAGCCATTGGAGGGGACACCGATTGGGCTGGGGAGGACTTTACAACAGGGATGACAGACATGACACCACAAGGACATTTTGGACTGAAAAGATCCACAGATGAATCAACACATGGAATCTCAGGGGAAACAGTGAGTGGACTCTCTGAAAGATCACTGGGTACTGCTTGTGGCAGGTTCACAGGTGGGACATCTAGTGGATCAGTGGTTGGTAATACCTGTGGTTTAATACAAGATCAAACCAAAAGATCAAAAGGAGGGACATCTAAAGAATCAAATGAAAGTGCTTGTAGAGGATCGTTGGGTGGAATAATGGGAGAATCTCTGATTTTGACTACTACTGGGGAATCACTAGGGAGGATCAATGATGGATTTTTGGTATCTGTCTCTGATATGGCCTTTGGTGGAACATTTGGGGGTGTTTTAAGTGAAGCAGTAGTAGGAAATTATGGAGGATCATTGGGAAGGTCTTCTGTTGGGTCAGTAACTAGCCATACAGGAGGAGCTTCAAGTGAACCAGGAGAAGCTGTTTATGTAGGGCAAACCGGTAGGGTGGTGGGGAGTACAGGAACACATGTAGCAGGGTCTACACATTTATTTAGTGGAGTTTCTGGTGGAATTACAACTGGACTTAATAATTCCTCCTTTTGTCAAAGTCCTTTATCTACCAGTTCATCCAGCCATCTGTCTGGTCAGACTCTTCATAATCAACCTCATCCCAAGCCTCCTCAAATGGTACCTTTGCAGCAGTTTACTGGAGGAAGCAGGACTACCAGTGGCATAAACCTCTTCCAGTCCCCCTCACAAAGTTCCCCAACCTATAGTAGAGGAACACATATTCAACAGCCTTCAGAGGGCTCCCCTTCTTCCACAAGTCATTTTAACCTGGCAGGCTTGCAGTCTGGTTGCTTGCCCCAGCACATGTCATTAGAAAAGTCTGCATTGGCTTCCCTAGCCCAGTATGGCTCAGCAAACGCCTCTCCCTGCCTTACCCCGATGGCACGCAGTCCCACTGTTCAAAGTCCAGTAGCAAGCAGGACCTTTCACTACAGTGAACCTTCAAGTGTTTCGGGATCCCATAGTTCTCTGCTCATGCCTCAGTCCCCTCTCCTTCCACAGCTTCCCAGCCAGCCCCAAACAGGAAGAGAATCTCCCCTGGGGCCCTTTTCTGAGGACCTAAACGTTTTATCCAGTTCACACCCATCTCTTCCCCTGGAGGTGGCCCAAGCCTTAGGTCACCAAACTCATTGCTCCTCTGTGGAATATTACCCCTCACCATTTTCTTCACCTACTCTTGTGCCCAAACCATATAGCTCAATACCAGAACGCATGACTCCTCCAATACCGGAATCTCCGGGACACTCTCATCAGACTCAGTCCCCTAAAGCTTCACCGGCGCTGCCTCCACAGAGGGGCTCTGGTGCCTACTTGTCAGATTTAGAACCTCAAACAACTCGTTCTAAACTTCCTTCAAACTTGTGAGAATTGATCACACCCTCCTGTGCTGCCCTGAAATAACAAAACAAAAACAAAAAACACCAAGTATCTTCATTTTTTATATTTTTATGTCCTAATACTTCACTGTGGTCTACCATTCATTTTACCAAGATTTCTAAATTTACTGTGATTTGAAAAACTTTTTTTTTCAGGAACTCAAAGCTGTGGAATACGCTCTATTTCGTATTTGTTTTACATGTTGTTTGATTTATACATGACCAATGTATATAGATAGAGATCTATTTAAAAGTACATATAAATCATTGGACTAGGAGGGTGTGACAGTGATCTTCTCAAGGACACATTATTTTTAAAGACTATGCCAAATTCATCCGGTGGGTTTTGGGAAGTTCATAGACTCCAGAATATAATTTCTGTTTGTTTGTTTTTAATATTATGTTTGCAGGAACCTATGCACTAATACCTGCATGTGTTGTATAAAGATTTTATTCTGTGTTTCAAAATATTTATCTACATTTTTAGCTGAAACAAAATGCTTTGAGACACTGATCAACTCATTTGGGATCACATATTGTTGATCCTTAAATGTATCTATTGGATTGTACTTATTTATTCTCTGTATAAACTTTCAAAAAGTTGAAAGATGGAGATGAGATTTTAGGAAACCAAAAAAAGAGCTTTGCTTTGGAGTAACAGTTCACTTCTTTGTGGCTTGGTGATTCTCATTCACACCACTTTATTCAACAAGTACTGTTTTGAAGCAGGGGGAAGAAGTTTTTGGAGAGCTACCCTCCATCTCAGTATTTAAAAATACAGCGTATGCGATGGACTAATTCTCTGCAGAGTCAACCATATCCTAACAAGTTCACTTTGTCTTCCAAGCTCATGCCGCCTTTGTGTCTATTAAATTAAGTTTGTGTGTGTGAAATCAGATGCAAGGCAAGAGTTTTCCCTAAACTGAACAAAAGTAGATTTGCCTTTTTACACAAAACCTAGACCTTCCAATAAACACAGCCTGATGCATTTCATAGCCTCCAGCTCATAAAAACATACTCATATATATATAATAATAATAATAATAAAGTCCAAAGTAGAAAATTGAATTTGTAAAGTCAACAAGACGTTTTTGCTTCATGCAGGCTTCCCCTAAACAAGACTTTCTTTTAGTAAATGCAGTTTTTTTACTACATATGAAGTGCTGAAATATGAAACATGCCACATAGTGTTTCGTTTGTGCATTACTGTTTCTGTTGTAGCTGATGTGTTATCAACACAGGCATGTCTCCTTATTGAAAGTTAACTTTGAGTTTGAGAGGTTGAATGTATGTACATTTATCAATGCATAAAGTAAGTACTGTAGCCATTGTAGATGCACTGAAGGCAAACTGCCTGTTATTGGGGTTAAGAGACTGTTCTGTAGCTGAAAAGGTCATTGATTCCATATCTTTGACAACCATTGTCATCAGCAGCCATTATTATTGCCAAAGTGTCCTTTACTAAGACACAGAATTGGCTAAATTGTTCATGAACCGATCTGAATATTTGCCCAGTAAGCTGCTTGCAACAGCCCACTTTTTACTGCTCCGGTAAAGTGATGGTCATCAACCTTACTGCTACTTGTACACTGAGAGAAACTTATAATGTGTCATTTTTAAATAAGTACCATTGCTGTTTAATTGTTGGCTTTTTCTTACATTTCACTTCAGTTAATTATTTATTCATCTTTGAAGTTTTGATTGATAAAGTTAATTCTTTAATTGAGGCAACTAAAGTATTATTCAAAGTAAATTACCTTTCTGGAAAAAGCAAACAGGTTCTACAATATTCCAGCCATATTTAAATGGTTTTTTTTTTTGTTTGTTTTTTTTGTCATCCTCTCCATTTAGTATTTTACATCATCCTGTTCCAGATTTGCTCATTTACTTCTGTTGTCCTTTTAAGATGGTCCACCTGATTACCTTTGACTTTACTCATACGAGTTTTAAGCAGTCAAATTAGTATGGTGCTGTGAAAAATGTGAGGCAGCAAAACTTCCCCAAATTAGAAAATACTTGCAAAAATTGGCTTTAAAAGACATATACAGAATTTTGGGGACACCGGACACTTAATTAACAGAGTTCAAATCCTAAATGTTATAATCTATGTCTCATTTTGCCTGTCACTCAACAGGAATGCTAGATTCTCAGACATCTAAATTTACAGGTACTGTTTCAAATCAACAAATTACTTGTAGTGTGTCGTCAAAAGTCAATCATATTCAAAGAATGCTATATTCTTTGCCCCCACTGTATATGGCCAATAACATTCAGCACATGTTGTCGTTTTCTCCTAAACAGAGGGGAATAGGGCTCTTAAATGAGTATGTACAATCCCAATATTTCAGGAAGCTTTGCTGCGACCAGGAAAACTATACACATTAGAGCAAGATATCAGTAAAGTCCCAAAGGAGAGGTGCAGAGATATGATCTTCATGTTTGTCTTAGCTCATCAATATGACAGATCCTGGTCCCACTTAGACAGCTGAGTCCCAGCCTCAGTCACAGCACTCAGCCTCAGCAGCCTAATTTGACAAGACATATTTGTAATCTCTTGACCCTCACAAGCTATCAGAGACTTCGACACAGAGGTGACCATGCAGGCCCCTCATTACAGTTGCATGAAGTCCTTATAACAAGGTGCACCAGTACATGAAATGAGATAGTTTCACAAAAACACAGTGAGTGAGAGGAACACAACCACAAGATCTTTCCCTCCCTGGAACTTTAGTCCACAACATTTTGTGGTGTTGGAATATTGTGTTGACAGAAGCAGAGTGTTTACAAATGTATGGAAACGTAGATGTTTAACAACCCATTAAATACACCAAAATGCAGGAAATTGCATCTACTTTACTCAAAATTTTCTGGGGGAGGACCCCCCGCCCCCCCTCCCAACCCGTCTGCTATTTGCGTTCCAGCATTGATCCATCCATCCATCCATCCATCTTTTACCCACTTCTTTCATTTTGGGTCACGAGGGTCACCAGTGCCCATGTCCAGCAATCACTGTGCGAGGGGCGGAGTACACCCTGAACGGGTCTCCAGTCCATCACAGGGACGCATAGAAACAAACGAGACAAACAACCATTCACTCTCTCACTCACATCTAGAGACAATTTAGAGTTACCAATCAGCCTAACATGCATGTTTTTGGTCTGTGGGAGGAAACCGGAGTACCTGGAGAAAACCCACGCATGCACAGAGACAACATGCAAACTCCACCCAGAAAGGCCCCCGGACCGGGATTTGAACCAGGGACCTGCTCGCTGAGAGGCAGCAGCTCTCCACAAATGTTTGTTTGGAGGACATGCAGTTGTATAAGCTTTCAACATGCGTAGGTAAGCATTGATTGGCGATGTGTTCCATTTGTTTATTTTATAGTGGAAGTAAAGGTAGGAAGAATTTGGCATAGAATCTGAAGTTTTATTAAAAACAGTTGTAAGTTATGCCATTTGGATGCAGAAACTAACTTATTTCATGGTTGTTTTACCATAGACAGACAATGTCACTGATAAATTGAAGAGTGTTACATTATATGTATGCAACATTTTGTATACATTTGCAACAAGAAGCTATTTCTGAGGTTTGAAAATTTCCATATCAGAATCTAAAGTAGAAACGGGGACAAAACTCGGCAACAGAAATAAAAGCAAGTTAACAACCAGAACTCCTACATTCAAATTATTGATTGTCTGCTCGCATGGCAGACTTGAAAGCTTTCATCTTAATGTAACCTGCAACACAAAAACAAACATTGTGCCTAAAATGATCTCTCTCTTTCCTATGAATATGAGTTTATTAGGAAACTGCATATGGGAAGAGCTTGAAGTGAGACAAAGGTGTAGATGTGTGGAGACACTGATGTGGTGAGGGAATGATGCAGCTGGACATTCAGACACAGAGAAGGACAGGTACGCAGGCAGGCGCTCCATGGGGTACTCATTCTGATAGGCTTCTTTTGGCACATTCCTTGTGATTGTGAGTGCTTCTAGGGGGGTTCAGCAGGTTATTGATTAGAAGGATACAAGGTAAAGTTTTAAGCATTGTTTCGCAGCAAGTGTTTGTGATGTTTGATTGTGTTTTTTGTTTTTCTGCTAGGATTGGCACTATTTGAAGGCTGAACAGGGTAGTGAAAAGTCCGACTTTTAAGTGATAGTTCAGCAAGCTGTGCAGTCCGATTCATTTGAGCAAGCCTCTTTGCAGAACTCCTTGTCTTGCGGTGTAAAAATACCCCTGTTTAAAATGTCACATTACAGAAAAAAAAAAATTTGATTGATGACCTTTCAGCCTTGAAGTTATATGCTGGAAATGAGAAGGAAGTTCCTAATCCTCTGGGTTATGATTTTTTTTTTAACTCACAGCAGACCATGTAATCATTCATCCCAATTGTAGCCAAAATTAGAGAAACAAATTTTCACCTGACAGCAGCTTTATTTTTTATTTCCCTTTAAGCAGACTTTCTGTTTTCATCCTCTCACACTAGTTGTCACGGCCGCACCAGTGGCATGATGTAGCATGGAGGCAGAGATTTCCAGAGGAATCAGCTGGGAGGAATGGGATAAGCTTTGAAACTTTGTGTCTTTTGATGTGAATAAAGAAAAACAACGATGACTCACTTTCTCATTCAGAGAGCTGTTTTCATTACGTCTCCCTATGACACGAACGTGGCAGAAACAGCAGTAAAAAGTAACTAAAAGACCCTTTCAGTCCTCTGTTCAAGGCTCCAAACTTAGGTTTTTGGTATAGTACGTCAAAAAAAAGGTGGGAAAGAGCGCCCAAGATTCTTGTTCTGAGCTTGTATTTTATTGCAGTTCATAAGTATAAATATGTTGTTCCGGTTAAAGTAGGTCAAACCTACCCATTGATTAGAAAACAGCCAACCTGTATGAAAAGTATTGTCCATTTTTTTTCTGAGGCGTACAAGGCTCAGGCTTCACGTGTGGCACAAAATAGCCGGCTGTGTTGTTATGTAGGAACAAACTTTGCTGGAGTCCATTTCATGTCACCTGTCTAACCTTTCAAACTCTAGAAAGCAGCGTTCTCAGATTCTGCTTGGTGCACTTTGGATTTTGCAGCCTAATCTTTGCCTCCCTCTCCTCTTTGT